TACGTCATGTTTCTGTACGTCACGGTTCTATACGTCATGTTTCTGTATGTCACGGTTCTACACGTCATGTTTCTGTACGTCACGGTTCTACACGTCATGTTTCTGTATGTCACGGTTCTACACGTCATGTTTCTGTACCTCACGGTTCTATACGTCATGTTTCTGTACGTCACGGTTCTACACGTCATGTTTCTGTACGTCACGGTTCTATACGTCATGTTTCTGTACGTCACGGTTCTATACGTCATGTTTCTGTACGTCACGGTTCTATACGTCATGTTTCTGTATGTCACGGTTCTATACGTCATGTTTCTGTACCTCACGGTTCTACACGTCATGTTTCTGTACCTCACGGTTCTATACGTCATATTTCTGTACGTCACGGTTCTACACGTCATGTCTTCAGATGCTGATGCTGTCGTTCTGTACGTCACGGTTTATACGTCATGTTTGGCGGCGGGGATCGATGAAACGTTGTCAGAGACGGTGGCAGGGAGAGAGAAAGAAGTCCAGGTGATGGGTGGGGAGAGAATGGAGAGAGGGAGGGGGGGAGAGGGATGGAGTGAGAGGGAGGGAGAGAGTGAGAGTGGGAGAGAGGAAAGGGGGAGGAAGACAGGAAAGGGATACAGAGAGACATAAGGAAAGAGAGAGTCACAGAGAGAGAGAGAGAGAGACAGAGAGAGAGAGAGGGGGGGAGAGAGAGACAGAGAGACGCACACAGAAAGACACGAAGTGAGATAGATAGATAGATAGATAGATAGATAGAGAGAAGGGAGAAAGAGAGAATGGGTGGGAGGGCGAATGGGAGGGAGGACGGAAAAGGAGGGGTGGGCAGGTGGAAACGTTTCATCGCTTGGAGTCAGTGACCTGTATAACAACAGGTGGTGATGAGAGATTAGCACTAAGTGTGAGAGGCTGGGGGGTGTGTGGTTGTTGTTGTTGTTGTTGTTGTTGTTGCATTTGTTGTTGTTGTTGTGGACGTGAGACAACAGGTGAGGTGTGATTAGCGCAAAGTGTGAGCGGCTGGGGATGTCTTTGTAGTTATTGTCGTCGTTGTTGTTGCTGTCGTTGTTGTTGTTGCTGTCGTTGTTGTTGCTGTCGTTGTTGCTGTCGTTGTTGTTGTCTGTAGTGGACGTGAGTCAGATCCAGGTTATAAACACAGAGTGGGCTGTAGGTCTGTGAACTCTGATTAGAGGGATGCGAGAGAAGGATGGGGTGTTGGGGTAAAGAGAAAGAGGAGCAGAGAGGGGGAGAGGGAAAGATTGAGTAGGGGGGGGGTCAAAAATCTTCGCGCGTGATGTGTAATTGTCGGGGGAGAGGGGGAGAGGGAGTGGGAGAGAGAGGGCCCGGGAGAGAGAGAGAGAGAGAGAGAGAGAGAGAGAGAGAGAGAGAGAGAGAGAGAGAGAGACGGGCTTGACTGTGACAGCTTGATCTGAACAATTAATTTGTGCACTGTCGACACCTGCATGCGCTGCGACCCACTCCCCCTCCTTCCTCCCCCCTCCCCCCTCTCTCACGCCAATCACAGACTCACCACTGCTCACTCTTCCACTGACACTTCAATATCACACCCTCCACTACCCATCCACTGCCATTTCTCACCAGAGTTCTTACGTCTTCAGTCCTCGTCCACCGACGGTTCAAACCACGGACGTCTCCACTACTCCTTCACCAACACTTCTCTCCAGAACAGAGCGGCAGCACCAGCCTTTCCAGCAAGTGAAGGTAAATCGCTTAACCAATAATACCTCTTGAATCATGAGAAAATTTTAAATTTACGTTGAATTGCTTTGTTTATTTGGCCATATCTTTCAACCAATGTTCGCATTGCTTGAAAGATAAATATAATATTTTGTATATTATGTATTAATATAATATTATGTATATGTGTGTAAGTGCAATATGTTGTCGACGGTATTCACAAACATCACAGACCTGCAACATGCAGAAAGGAGATTTTACAGAAGAGACAAAAAACGTGATTATTGTTAATATAATCTTTGTGTACGAAATGTTGAATTAATTGTTGGAACTAGATCTAGATCTAATTGCTACTTGTTTTTTCTTAAATAAACCAATCGATATTTTTTTTATTACGCGTGTAGCCGATTATGGAATGACAAGAAATGTGCAACACAGTGCAGGTGGCTGGTTCTCTGAAGTAAGCCACTTCGCGTATGACACTTTCGCGCACAGCCGTGCCACGTGGCGTCATATAGACGGTTATACGGGGTGCCCACTACAGCTGGATCGGGTCGATCGCCCGACTCGATCGCCTGAAACTGAAAACAAACACGTTTGTTTTTTAGGCGTTCGAGTCGGGCGATCGGCCCGATCGGCCGATCCCGTCCGTAGTGAGCACCCCGTATTAGGCGCAGCTGTGAACCACTGTTGAGAACTGTTCTTACGGGGTGCGCCCACTACGGACGGGATCGGCCGATCGAGGCGAACGCCCGACTCGATCGCCTCAAAAACAAACATGTTTGTTTTCAGTTTCAGGAGATCGAGTCGGGCGATTGGCCCGATCCAGCTGTAGTGGGCACCCCGTACATTAATCTGTACGGACGATGGCGAGCTATGGTATTTTAAAACTGACAACTTTACGGAATCTCCCACCTGACTAGTTCGAATTAGCTTCGAATCTTAACCTGGTTGGTTCATACATAATATTATACTGCTTTAGAAAGACATGTTCAGTGCTTTGGTTAGCCCTTTATCAGTAAATAAAGCCTAATGGTTGAGTGTAATCTTGACTACCGGGAGGTGTAACTTTGACCTTTGATGCTGGTCGTTTCATAAGGGAGACTTTAGAAATGACATTCTAGCAGTTCTCACGTCTAATAAGTAACATGAAATGACCAGTGCTATAGTCTACGCAACACAAAATTGACAACTTGTTGACCTTATTACACAGAATATGAGCTGCGAATTGCTCGGATTTTTTGCTTGCGCCTCTGAATTCCACAAAATCTAAAACATCTAGATTTTTGTGCATATGCCAAAAATGTACAGAGGTTTTTTCTATATAATTATTAGTATTCAATTACAATCTCTCTCTCTCTCTCTCTCTCTCTCTCTCTCTCTCTCTCTCTCTCTCTCTCTCTTA